GCAATGACTACCAAGTCAGGAGGAAACAGTCTCCAACAAACCGGCGACCTCTCGGGAGCTTAAAAAAAAAGGAAAAACACAAATGGGCTGATTATGAACTACAAGGGGTGAATATGGGGACAGCGGTAAGACCTATGGCAGCCCCGACCCCGGCCGCTTTGTAGAATATAAGGTTGCCTAGGCGAGGATGGGCTTTTGTGGGCATGTAAAGACACCTGCTTGAGGATGGGGACATCCCGGCACGTGTCCCAGAAACAGCGTAGCCTCCAAATGGCTGATACAGTTGCACTGGAAATACCAGTAGACCGCAGGGAGTGATGGAAAAAAAAACAAGCCAAGGGTCTAGACTTCGATCCAGAATTCCCGGCGGTCCAGCGCCCATCTTTGTGATAGGGCCAGACGGGTCGTGAACTATTGTCGGGCCTTATGTTGCTCAACCGCGCCCAACGGGCCTCACCAGGGGCAACGTGCGCGATATGTGCCGTCGCTGCGCAAATGGTAGCATTTGCGAAAGGCGAATAGTGGGAGAAAAAGTGGATAGCCGAAGTGATCGATAGCATGCTTAATTACCTACATAGGAGCAATGTAAATAGAGGATGTATTCCAGACCTCCCCCCCCCCAAATCCAAGGCCAAGCGCGTAATCATTAGGGGGTACAGCACGCAGCGGACAGAATTCGGCCATTTGCCACTCTCTATACCCTGCGAACATGTGGAGAAGTATGGAAATCAAGATAGGAGTATTGGGTGACCGGTGGCGGAATGCGGTAGGAGAGATCGGGTCTGAATGTGAATAATGGAGGGTAAATAACGGTGGTGGATAAGTGGGAACCAGATATGAAGGTAAGGGGCGGAGAGAAATAATGCGGCATCGGGGGTCCTACGTGATAGGAAAGGTCACGGCTGAAACCTGTATCAACTGCTCTAGCACCCACAACTCCATGATAGGAAAACTAACAGCGGGGACAGGGGTATGATGGTATGAGAATAATTATCCAATATTGTTCTGGCTTGTAGGAACCTACGGTACGCTAATGTGTGCAATATAGGGCGTAAGTCAAGGTATCATAGGTATCATTATCCCTTACTCGAGTTTCTGTAGGGTTCCCGGTAGAGATGTTTGTCCATGAATTCTTCTTGTTTCGGTTGGAGAGCCAAGATAAACCCCTGACTTGCGGTTTGGGGGAGAATAGAGGCGATTTGGATTAATCGAAGGATAGTGATAGTACGGGAGGGGGTGGTTCCGCATAGTCAGTGCGGGGTATTGTTTGTTGTTGGGAAAATCTGGCGAGTGGATAAGGGTGGTATACTTTGCGATATTTCTGCAATGCGGCTCTGGGCATCGACCTGGGTGGTGTGAGTAGCACCTGAGCTGCACAGGGTTAATTGGTCGCTTAAGAGCTAGTTACCCTTCAACAGCTCCGTACTCGCGCGGCCGAGTTGAAGTCGGACACCCATAGAGAGTAGCGATCGCCGGGCCAATAACAGACCCATCCAGGGCAACACAATTTATAATCAGATACGGTACAAAAAAAGACTCCATAAACCTCCGCCTGTGCATCGATGATGATTCTAATTTGCCACCAACTAACTTATACGATATATAGAATCATCTTGGTCATCTTAGTGGAATAAATATGACCAGTGATTGGCTCAGCGATCACTACTCTATTTGGGTGTCCGACATCAACTCGGCCGCGCGAGTACTGTATCTGAGGAAGGAGTTTCAGCAAGCTACTAAGAGCTCTCGGATAATCCCGGGACAAGGTGCAAGTGTTTCGGTTGGCTTCCGGGATTGAATGGCGTGCTCGACAGGGCTGGCTCCCGTGTGGGAGATATGTCTGTCACCTGGAAATATAGGGTGGGATGGAGGGAAGGGAACTGCCAGGGAATGATGACGGCGTAACACACATCCCTGGTGGAGGGAGCAGAACAGAGGAGAAGAACTTGGCGGAGAGGAAACGTGGCCTAATTGCGTGGTGATGTGTGGTATTGCCCATCCCCTACCGTATGGGGGTGGTTGCCAGACCTTGGCGTATCTCTTTTACGTGCACAACATGAAGGGCCACGGCTGGCCTATGGGGGAGGGTGTGTGCTAGGGCAACTAACAAATCAGCGGGTGGCAAACCGGTATTGTACGGTACTCAAGGAGGTTCGCCAGCCAATCTCTTCCACCCGGGCAGAGACAGAGCCGTGGGCTGCGCAGAGAATGCGCATCACCTTTTCGGGACTAGGGCTGAATGTCTCAGAAGGTCGCGTTGCATTAAACTACCGGAACAACCCGTAGTAGCATGGGGAAAATCAAAGGTCTTAGTAAGAGAACTCTCTCGGCTATTGGCAGAGGCAACCGAATGCCCCCCCAGTAGTAGGCCGGTGGATCTGACTGCCACATAGCCCTGTGGGATTCCGTGCGGCATGGGCCAAGTACTTGAGCACTCGAGATACCGGTAGTGTATTTGGGTTATTTACAGTATGACAGTTCCGGCACGGTACTGAGCTGTACAAGTAAGGGTAGCATACTCGTGTGCTTTACTGTCCCCAAACTCGTACTCGTAGCGATTCCGATACGATCAACTCTGTTAAAACACACGGGATTGTTTACTCGGGTACACCTCCCCTCCATCTACGGAGACTGTAATGCGCTGCGCACCTACTAGCATTAAAGGCCATGTGGGGAAAGAAAAGTGATCGTTGCTCAAAATGGTAGCGGGGGCTGATGTATTCGGGTAATGTCATACTTGGCTTGCAGTAGTGCAGACAGCGACTAGGCATGCAGTTGCCGTTTTTGTATGCCAGTGGAAGCGCTGCGCATTTCAGAGCCCCGCTCTTGGAGGTCTTAAGAAAGGTTGCTGCGAAAAGATTCCCTCTACGAGTAGTTGCTGTATCCCGCCTCATCCCAGAATCCACTATCCGAAAGCATACCAAAAAAAAAAGCTCCCCAAGCTTCGAGGATCCACCTCGGAATTGAAGGCCGACTTTTATTCTTCTTTCCCTACTGAAAGATAGCGAGCTCTCATAGCAACTTACACTCCCCCTCTTAACCCACAACATTCGTGGGAAAGAAAATGGCGGAACCCTTCTCGCTTGCTGCTAGTGGCCTGGCCCTCATTCACCTCGGCGCAAAGGTTTATCAACTTTGCGATGAATACCGCGATGCAGTTAAGGAGAGCGAAAATGATTTCAAGAGACTAGCGGATGAGATCAGGAGTATTGGCGAGCAGCTGAAGGAAATCCAGGCTCTTGCTGCACAAGGTGACGAGAACAACCCAAAATACCCTGGGCTTCTTGAATGGACGAAAAACGAAAGCTTAAAAGGTTATGCAACCGCCCTTGAGGAAGTGGAGAAAAAGCTAGATGTCCCAGGATGGAGGAAATCGTCGAGAAAGTTTCTTTGGCCGCTCCATAAGCCCAAAATGGAGCGTTACCTGGGCTTGGTTGAAGTTCAGAGATCAAAACTTCAACTTTTGTTGACTACAGCCACAACGTAAACCCTCCATTCCTCCGTACCAGGAGAATCTAACTTCTCCATTTCCTTTTCTTTGGGGTGGCAAGGCTAACTAGTAATTCAGAACGACGGTAACAAATATTTCACGAACACTAGATGGTACTTGGTTACAATATCCCTAACCCTGCTGGTTAATTTATTTGCTAATATCAGTTGTTTTTACAATCCCAGAGAAAGAATTCCGCGAAGTGCTAAAGTGGCTTAATGTTGTCGATCCTAGCGCCAATTATTCTTCTACACTTGCCGTTCGTGAAAAAGGTACAGGGAATTGGCTGCTCAATGGGCGGGAGTATGTGGATTGGAAGGCGGGTAAAGGAAGGGTTCTCTGGCTTCACGGGATACGTGAGTCCACAGACGAGTGAAATCTTATGCTTCGAGGAATGTCACTAATATTTTTCTCTTGTAGCCGGATGTGGCAAAAGTGTCCTAAGGTGTGAAATCAACCGGGTATCGAAGGGTGCAATATGATTTCCTGATTGCTGACTCTATTTAGCGCTACCGCTATCGAGGATGTCAAAAATGTGTGCAAGGCGAATGACGATCACGCATTAGCCTATTTCTACTTTACATTCAGTGACTCGGGAAAGCAAAATTTGCTCAATATGCTTCTATCCATGATTGGCCAACTGCTACGGGCGCGTTGCAACCTGGTCTTGCCTGATGAGATTATCAAGCTATACCACGACTCTAAGGCGATCGGAATGTCGCCGGATATAAAAGACCTGCAAACTGCATTTTCGCATATCACGAGGTTTTCCAAAAAGACCTTTATTATTTTAGATGCCTTGGACGAATTTCCAAAGGCCATCCGCGGGACCCTTCTGTCTTGGATTGGGGAGCTCATGGCGGATCATATGGGATCAATTTCGATTCTTGTGACTAGCCGTCCGGAGGCTGATATAGCGAGATCACTGGTACCAATTACTGCTTTTGCTATATCGCTACAATCCAGCACTATCGATCCGGATATCCGAGCGTATATACGGAACTCTCTAACAGGCAAGGATGGTTTCAAGAAGTTTACTCAAGAAATAAAAAGCGAGATAGAGGAAAGGCTAGTTGCGGGTTCACAGGGAATGTGTGTTATACCCGATCATTGAATTTCCGCTTGTGCTAATTTTGTGGCGCGTTCTTTCAGGTTCCGATGGGTAGATTGTCTCCTACGAATTCTGGAAGAATGCATAACGCCAAAATCTGTGCGGGACGCATTGAGGGATCTCCCGGAAGACTTAGATTCTATCTACGTGAATATCCTCGATACCATTCCTAAGAATCAAAAGGAATATATTCGGCGGGCGCTGGATTGGCTAGCATTTTCGGCAGAACCACTGACCCTAAGCCAGCTCGCGGAGGCCATTGTGATAGAATACAACGTCGACAAGTATGGCGAGGATTCGGAAAATCTTTTTGACACGATCTCCCTGATGAACATTTGCCCTAGCCTTATTTCATTTGAAGACGCCATGGACGGTGAATCCTCCACCTGGGAAAGCCGGCGATTACGACTAGCACATTTCTCGGTAAAGGAATATTTGATCTCAGACCGGGCGGCGCAGGGCCCCAGTGCCTACTATCATATTTCGGAGGAGAAGGCCAATTTACGGATGGGGCACGCTTGTCTTGGTCGAATTCTCCGGCATAGCGGAGAAGGTACTGAACATTGGAACGAAGCCGAAAAATTGTCATTCCTCTACCACAGCGCTCGCCATTGGTTCACGTACTTTAGATCAATTGAGTATACGGCACCCACTCCACTCTCCGAGGCTGCGGTAAAGGTCCTCGAGCTTGGCCAAGCCTGGCTAGGTATACATGACCCCGACCGTCCCTGGCAGTCTCCACCCTTGGGACCCTGGCCCCGCCCACCAGCAATCTACTATTGCTCCTTGTTAAATCTAGCGACAGCCTGTAAATTACTAGTCAATAGAAAGGAGGATGCGGTTAACGTGAATACCCAGGGTGGCCGTTATGGCAATGCATTACAAGCAGCTGTAGCAGATGCAACCGAATCGGTTGTACAGCTTCTCCTCGAGCGTGGGGCAGATGTGAATGCGAAGGGTGGTCATTATGGCAATGCACTACAAGCAGCTGCATTCAAAGGAACCGAA